AAAACACTTGTAATTCCTCCAGGTCTGTATAAGATAGTTATAACTTTACATATTTATTTCACTGGTTTAATATTTATAATGAGAAATTATTAGTGTGCCAAAATTAAAAATCTCTCAATTTAAGAGTGAGTTAGGTAAAAACAAATAAGAATTTATGGTTGGATTTTACGATTGGACAAGGTAGCTTCACATGCATTTTGGATACTGGTTCAGTAAAAAGGAAAAGATTTTAATTCCATGCAGAATTTACATCAGTGTTTCTCAACCTTGACAATTTTAAGGCATGTGGACTTCAACTCCCAGAATTCCACAGCCAGCATTGCTGGCTGTGGAATTCTGGGAGTTGAAGTCCACATGCCTTAAAATTGTCAAGGTTGAGAAACACTGATACATGAATGAGAAGTTTACATGAACAAATGATATATGAAAAAAGGGAAAAAGTTACCAGGCAAACACTAATAATTACAAATAAACAATATAGATTTTGAATAACATTTTGTAGCTGTAAAATTAGAATGCAAATCATCTTGTCGAATAACCTTTACATAAGCTATAAATATTTAACCTGTAAGTGAATTAATTGTAGTTTCTCAGGAACCAACTCTATAATTTAGCCCACACATATCAGTGGTGGAATTCATTGCCATACTATGAGTCACTTGGAAAGGTAATACATTGAAAATTGTTATCTATTAACAGGAATCGTTTTATCAGCACAGGAAAATTGAAATCGGCCTTCTAGCATTAACAACTTTTCTCCCATTATAGCATTTATTATAAACTTATATTAACATTTATATATAGTCTTCACAGAAATTTTGTTCAGTTGAGCTTTGCTAGGAAATTGCTTTACCTATGGATACCTGTATTTAAAAGACATGTATCTGTACAGATGGCCTCCACCTACAGACTGCGGTTGGGACTTGTAACTTGTTGCTAAGAGACACAGTTGCAAAGTCATATGATCATACCAACTTATGGTGTCAGTCCCACTGAGGTCATTAAGCAAATTATCATTGATCATTAAGTGGAATGACCATGGCTTGTGACTTCCTGCTAGTTTGCCCATTGACTTTGCTTATGAGAAGCCAGCAGGTAAAAAAATTGTAATCCTGTGACCATGGGATGCTGCAGCCATCCTAAATGCACACTGGTTGCCAAGCACCTGAATTGCAACCAGGAAGATGCTGTAGCAGCCACAACCTCAAGGTCCAGTCACAAATCTCCACTTTCAGCACCATTGTCACTTTGAACAATCGCTGAACAGTCGGTTAGCGAGGAGTACCTGTATAAATTAATGATCTAATAAAGCATTGAACTAAAATGTGCAGACCTCCCAATTTCTGTTGCCTAGAAAGTAAAAGTTGCAGCACATTTTGGGGGAATCTTACTGTTCATTTAGTGTTGTCATGCTGGATTCCATTTGATGTTTTATAACTGGAGTGCACTGGATTATTTTGTCCATTCTATCTTTACCGTAAATTCTGTCTAAAGCTCATTTTCATACTTTCTCAAATACAAGCTAAGCATCAATAAAAGGAAAAGGAGAGCTATGATGCTGAAATTTATCATGTATATTTGGTGTAAAAAGTAAAGAGATATAGAGAACTGAGTTTGAGAGCAGCTGCTCAAAATATTCTTTCCTAGGTAGGTTTCTACTGTGATAAAAGGAAAATATATTCTTATTTTGGATCACTGTGTCTCTACACTTGTTTTTACAGAAATCAGTTGAGTAAATATAACTGCTCTCATCTCCTGACTTGTTTTTTCCCCCATCTCGTTATATTAGCTGATCAAAGAGTCAGAGGTATTTATCTCTCAATATGTGAGAGTTCCAGGAACAACTTCTGGAACTTAAACTGGTTTATGCTTCTAGATCTAGAGGGAGTTTTTTGGGGCTATCTAATGGTTGGACAGAATTTTGCAGTCCAGATTTGATAGTCTTAA